ATATCTTGAGTAAAACACTATTTTTAATGATTTTTTTTCCACAAATATCTCTCATACCTTCTATGACTAGATCTTTTAACTCTGAACTGGAACTTGTGTACACAGAAAAGTGCTTCATTGCAGCAGCTACAGTTTGCTTGTCCTGATACACTTGTCCTTCTTCAATAGTAGTTTGCATAGATTCTGTTATTATTTCACTTTGATATTCCTCTATAGCTGGAGAAGATGACATATCAAGTAACTTTAGGGATCTAGACGAACCTGCATCAAAATAAAGATAAACAATGTCATTATAATTTTGTAGAATCTTTGTAGATATAGTGAAAATTTTGTAGTCATCCATTTTAGGATGTCAGACATTGTAGTTAAATTGTACTATAACTGTTGCAATTTGTAGAAATTTGTGAAAACAATACTACTTCGTACATAATTAAACTGATTTATATTTTATTTGACTAGATTTTATTCTAAACATAGATTGTAGTTTTATTTGAAGACAACATTTTGAAGTCAACAATTTCTAATCATAGATTGTAGTTTATTTTGTCGTATAAATGTAGTAACTTTGTTGATAATTTTGAAAACAACATTGCTTTATTCTTTCATTAAACTGATTTGTAGTTTAATTGTAGGTAAATGTAGTAATTTTGTAGATAATACCGTAAAACCATAATTCTTTGCAATTTCGAACTATACAAACCTGCACTTGTGTTATCGTTGGTAATTGCCAATTCCATATTGAAATCTCGTACACTTTATACATAACGGATATGAACCTAAGTTTTTATTCTCTTTTTTGGTCTCCATATACACACGAACCCCCATATCATTCCTAATCTCCATTGGGGGACAATTGTCGTTCACCATGTATTTGATTTCTACAATTTTTTCTAAAGTATCAATTGTTAGTTGTTCTGCAATTGTAGAAATCAGAATACTGTAGCTTGCATTCTCATCTACCACAATGACATCAACTTCAAAATCTCTAAATCTGTCATAGTTATCCCAATTCCCATTCAATTGTAACATGATTGCGATTTTGGACATGATTGCGTGTTGTTGCTGATGTATTATTCTAAAAAAATTTCATTTTTTTGGATTTCTAGATTGAGAGAAAAAAAGATGAAGAACAGATATATGATCGCCAATTTGATTTCTGAAAACGACAAAGAACAGAATATAGCAATGTTGAGTTGTTGAATCTCGAAGATTTGAATTCTACAATTTGAATTCAGTTTGTTGAGTTGTTCGTGCTTTTTTTTAAAAAAAAAATTGAATTGTAGTTTAAGAGTAAATTATGCAAATGCGAAATCTCATTTCCGCTTTAAAACTTGAATTTAATGTAGAATCAATTAATCCCAAGATTCTTTCCTGATTTTTCGCGCGTTATTAAGGAAAGATTCTACCCTATTAATCGAATGGTACAGAAATTGTAATAAAAATGTGGACTAGACAGGTAATTTAAATACTATGCACATATTTGATAATAAAGTTTCATTATAACATAGGAAGGAAAAAATCCTTTTTTTTTATAAAAAGCAAGTCATGTTGGGACTTGTAGTACACGTGATCTGTCTCTTTACTTAGTTTATCCTCTCCCTTCAATCTTTTTATTCATCTACTTTAACCATTGTTTTAATTGCCCCCACCTATAATTCATCCATTTGCACTGTACACCAACCCCATCTACCCCCGCGGCTTGATTTGGCAACTAATGAAAGGAACCTCACATAATTTAAGAGCCACGTGATATTAACCTTTCAACTTTTTCTCTATATTATAATTTTTATGTGCCAAATATTTTCTTAGATTTTTATTATATATAAGGTATAAGAACCTTGACGTAATGAAAAAATTGTTGCCATATATGATCAGGAAATTACGGGTCCAAATCATAGAAACAACCTCTTGTAAAAATATAAGATAAAATTGTGTACAATAGATCATTATGGTCCGATTTTTTCCCGAACCCCGTGCATAATGGGAGCTTAATAATGCACATAGCTGCCCTTTTTTATATGATGGATAGGAACATAAAAATAGAAGAAAGAATTACAAGATGAGAAATCGAACTTTCACCAACAAGGTGAAAGTACTCCAACTAAAACTATTAAAGATTTTTCATGTGCCAAATATTAAATCACATAAGAAAGTTTAAGTTATTTAGTGTTGATAATGCAGAATGGTTTTGTTGATGGTGAGAGAGCAACTTAATTAAGCTCAATATACTAGAATCAATTATTGGGGCAATTATTAACTCACTATAGACAAGTGACAAGTAAATATGTGAATTATTAAACTTTTCTTCCTCTCATTTGTGGGTTTCTTTTGGTTGATTTTTTTTTTTTTTTTTTTGGCTCAAGGGGCAGGATAAAATAAGATTAAGTGAATGACAAGTTAAACTAATTTTGCAATTCATAAATTTTACGTTATGTTTTGTTTACTCATATGGTATTCAGAATTCACTTATTCGACTAATTTCATGTTTTATATGCAAATTATTATTCCCAAATTATTATGGTGGAGAAGTCCATATATTAGTTGGGCTTTATGTCATTGTTAATGGTGGTTGAATGATTTAATTGAATTTACCTTTATTCTTGATGTATATATATATATATCTATTTCATGTTCTCCCAAAATAATATTAGCAGCTAGGAACTTGGTTTATAATATAGTGTATTTGCACAAAAAATGTAGTTAATAATAAGCAATTGACTTTCCATGATAATAATAAAGGCAACAATAATGTACAAAAACATCATGGAAACATCGAAGATGGAGGGAGCAAAAATTAGAATCATGATGTTGTGTTATGCATCCCAAAATCCAAACAAAAATTGATTAATTATGCATTCACCTTATTAATTCTTAACTACTATATAATTATCATGATCTTTAAGGCATGCTTCATGAAGTAATACAAATCATTCCAAAATAAAAATTAAAAAATTAGGTCCGTGACCAGGCACGATTGATAATTTTTCTGCCATTATATACAGAGGCAGACCTATGCTTTGAGAAGAGGGGTCATTAAATCCCATTAATTTCGGTAAAAAAATCTGAATATGTAAGAGTATATTGGTTAAAAATTGTCATATATTTGGCTGAAAAGTCTCATGGGGCACTGGTTGAACAGTTTGCTCATGTGTCCTTATCACATTTAAATCTTGAGTTTACCTCTCATTATACAGCTAATAAGAAATTTATATATGTACATATATTAGGACTTGTTCTATACTTATAAAATAAGACTTGTATTTTCATATTGATATCCGAAATGTTTATTTGAGTACGTGTTCTTAATATACGCCTTAATCTCATAATATACAAACTATTAAGACTTTTTTCATTAAAATAAGTGGACTTGTATTTATATATTGTTATCTGAAATGTTTGCATGTGTATGATTTCTTTATTTATGTGTTGGCCGTCCGATGCATAAAGTATTTTACATATACGCAGGGTTCGAGGAAGGGTCGCATTCCAAGAGGGTATGATGTAGGCAGTCTACTTTAATTATAATTCCATGGCTCGAACCCGTGATCTATAGGACACACGAACACAATTTTATCATTGCTCTAAGACTCTCATTCCTCTTTATGTATATTTTATTCACGTTATAGTTTTAATTTAACCACGATAGATAATTTGAGCATTCGAAAATTTCAAAGAATATTTTGGAAGCATTTAACTATGTACATAAATAATCTATTAATTTTCTTACACCGTCAAATCATATTTAATTATAAGGACTGTATCGGTCAAAAATAGATCAGAGAAATTCGGCACGCGGAGACATAAGGCCGAGGTCGAACAGGCCGAGGTTAGACAGACATAAGGTCGAGGTCGGACAGTCATCAATAATGCCGAGGTCGGACAGACATAAGGCCGAGGTCGGACAGTCATCAATAAGACCGAGGTCAGAGAGTCATCAATAGGACCGAGGTTGGACAATGATGAAATAACTAGTTTGCTTTGGAATCCTCAAAGGGAATATTCTACTGAATATTCCCTCTAATTGTACTTTTTTAGGATTTTCTATGGATACCCCTTATAAATAGGAAGGGATGACTTCCAAAAAAGGGGGCGCTCTCTCTCTCCCTCTCCCTCTCTCTAAAAAATATGTAAACATACCTCTCTTGAGGATTTGTGATCTCATACCTTCATCGGATCCAAAAAGGGTCTTAACAACAACAACAACAACAACAACAACTCAGTATAATCTCACTTACTGGGGAGAGGGTAGTGTTGTGCAGACCTTACTCCTACCCTGGGGTAGAGAAGCCGTTTCCAAATAAAAGGGTCTTAAGGTTCTTGTATTTGTCTATCATTCATCTTTATCAAATGAAAGAGGATCCGTCCCATTCAAGATTGGGTGAATCCTTTCCTTTATTTACATTTTATTGCCGTTTAATGTTACTTAATGCATCTTTCTTTATGCTATTAAATATTGCCATAATAACTGCCAACATTTATACTTAGCTATATTTTCTTTTCTTTTCTATTGATATTATTCATCTCGGATCTAGAGTTAATTATCCTTAACTAGAATTTATCCTCTACCTTCTTTGATTGATTTGTTCAAAAATATTTCAATATCTTTCGAGTCAAACAAGGACAATCAATTAGTTTTTCATAATAAGTCTAATAGGATAACAAAGAAAAAAGATTAAATAATATGTTATAACTACTTAAATTGCCCTTATTATTTATCTGTGTGTGAGAAAAACCTAGGTAGCGTATTTGTGTCAATTTTTACTATAAAAGTTATAAGTTACAAAATATTTTGTTGCAATTTTGTAATTTTTTTTTGTTTTATGTTTTTTTGGCAAATTATTATTATTTACAAAAGCCAGAGCCGTATAAATTTCCGTACCTATCAAAGGCCCACAGCTAACAGCCGACGAAAGCACAGTGAACGGATAAAATTTTTTGTTTTCATTTCTCTTTTTGATCCACACACTTTTTTTCCTTTATAAAATGACCCCTCCATTTCTTAAAATTTCTCTCTTTTTCTCCCTTCTCTTCTTAGCTCCTCTTCTCTCCATTAGATCTTCAAAACCCATTGAGGGTTTGTTCTCTACTGATTATCCGTTCAGTTTCTTTCCTAATTTAGGCTATTTTTGTTGCTCAATTTATAGTTTTTTTGTGTGGTAGTGTGATAATCTTGATTTTCAGTTTATTGCTCTTAGTGGGTTGTTGTAATTCTCGAAATTAAGATGCAACAAGATCATCATCGCAAAAAGGTTAACTCTCTCTCTCTCTCTCTCTCTCACACACACACACACACATAAAATAAATTGATTTTGTTGTACTAAAGGAGAGATCTTGAAGAAAGATGAGGGTGTTTTTTGTATTTTTTTTTGCTTTTCAAGAGCTCAACAATGTTTGCATGAATTGAATTTAAGTAGCACAAAGTAAAATTGAACTGAATCTGGCTGAAGAAATTTTGGGTTTTTGTGTTAGTTGGTATTCTTGAGTTCTGATCAGTTTTCTTTGGTCAGTCCAGATGATTTTAAGAAGCATACGTTTTTTGTTTTACTAATTAAGTTCATTTTCAATTGTCCATATTGCTGCTAAAGAAAGCAGCTTTATGTTAGGGCTATAGGGTGTGTTTGCTTGCATGAAGGAAAATGTTTTCCAACATAAGAATTGTGAAATTCCGGAAAAAAGTTTTAAAAAAAAAAATTCAAGTGAAAAGGGTATTGAAAATTAGATTGTATTTGGACATGAATACAATTTGGAGTTGTTTTTGGATTTTTGTGGGCGATTTGAAGTGAAAATTTTGAAAACAGCTTTTTAGAAAAAAAGTTTTTCAAATTTTCGAAACATTTCAAAATTAACTTCAAGTGAAATTTGAAATTTTCATAGCTAAACACTGATTTTGGAAAAAACTGAAAAACTTTCCAAAAAAAGTGAAATTTTTTCTATGGCCAAACGGGCCCTTAAGTTGGTGGTTTTTAAGTTTATTTNTTGGTGTGTTATTTAACACTGATAAATCTCTAGCTGGTATTACCCTTGAATATTAGTACAAAAATGATTCTTGGATTTTGTTATTTTTGCTTCTTAGAAATGAAAAAAGCAACCTTGTGAAAGTATAGTTTCAGAATATCAACTGTACTGACTTTTCTCAATGATTTTTCAGAATACCAAAGAAGTGGAGTTTTTTACAGAGTATGGAGATGCAACTAGGTATAAAATTCTGGAAGTAATAGGGAAGGGAAGTTATGGAGTTGTATGTGCTGCTATCGACACTCATACCGGAGAAAAAGTGGCAATAAAGAAAATAACTGATATTTTCGAGCACACGTCTGATGCAATTCGAATTTTGCGCGAAATTAAATTGCTTAGACTTTTAAGGCATCCTGATATCGTGGATATTAAGCGAATCATGTTACCACCTTCAAGACGAGACTTCAGAGATATTTACGTTGTTTTTGAGCTTATGGAATCTGATCTTCACCATGTCATTAAAGCTAATGATGACTTGACACATGAACACCATCGCTTTTTCCTATATCAGATGCTACGAGCACTGAAGTATATGCACACAGGTAAATTATCTTGTGAATGTGGTAATGTAGTCCTTTTTTATTTTGGCTTCACTGCGAAGGCGCTGAGCTGGTATGAATATTCACTATTTTCTGTGTCTGACTTGTATTTGTTTGTTCAGCAAATGTCTACCATCGAGATCTTAAGCCGAAAAACATATTGGCAAATGCAAATTGTAAACTCAAAATATGTGACCTTGGATTGGCAAGGGTTGCATTCAGTGATACTCCAACCACAGTACTTTGGACGGTATGCTTTCTTGATATCTTTGTCCCATCTGCGGTCAATGTCATTTACATCTTTTTAATTTTTTCTTGAAATCGGGTAAACTTTACTAACTTGAAGTGCATTTTATTTGGATGTAATTTGTTGACCTTTTATCTTCTGACCGTGCAGGATTATGTTGCTACAAGGTGGTACAGGGCTCCTGAATTATGTGGATCTTTCTTTTCCAAGGTAGTTCGTGCTGCTTTATCTTCTATTTAGTAGTTTCGTAGTGGGTGGGTGTTTATTTCATGTGTCAAGATGCTCTATATCCCTTCCGATGCCTCCATCCCCGAGGTCTTGGACAAGGAAAAAAGAGAACCACCACCAAAGATGGTGATATGATTAGATGAAGCAGAACATTGACATGAATAGTTTTGCTTTTCATTTGTTTGAACCATCTTAGGATTGCATGTTTGGTCATTCTGTATTCAAGTTTTTGATGCATTTGCCCTTGGATGTAATTAGTTGAAGTAGAATGTTGACATGACTAATTATTTTGCCAAATTTTGTTGGTTCTGATGCCATTGAGGTATCATCAGTTCAGTGGCAGAACCAGAAATTTATACAAGGGGATTCAAATTGAACCTATGACCTAAAGCAATTTTGAACACCCTTTACTACTAACGGGAATTTTTCTTCATGTCAAGGGGATTCAACAGCTCACATATAACCAAAAAAGATCAGTTTCACTCTATTTACATTGTATAATTTTCCTACGAAGGGGGTTCGCTCGAACCTTCTTCACTCTATCTAGTTCCACTGTGGTATCATGGATAGGCTCTTTTTCGGAATAGCTATAGAAAGGTGAAAAGTTACTTGTCCACTCTAGTTGCAGCATATGATGTGCTGATACTGTTAGAAGCTGTGGCTTTTTGGTTAGAATACCGGTTTTATATAGTCAATACATTGTAAGTGTATTAAAGAGTGATTTGTAGATTAAAATCGTTCTTGTTCAGGGAGGACGATTGAACTTTCCTGGAAGTTGAATTGTCTATTCTTCAGGTAAACTGTGTCAGGTCCTGGGCTAATTTTTCGGCAGGGTTTTACAGATGTTTTTGCAGATTTTTTGCTAAATGTTTGTATTTTTTGCATTCTGCAGTATACACCTGCTATTGATATTTGGAGTATTGGCTGCATTTTCGCGGAGGTACTAACAGGAAAACCATTGTTCCCCGGAAAAAGTATTGTTCATCAGTTAGATTTGATGACTGATCTTCTTGGGACACCGTCAGCTGATACAATATCTGGGGTAAAAACTGTTTATCTATTTGTTTTTTCTGTGATGACTGGATTCAGCCTTATTATGCAACATATTGTACTGGGTCGTTGTTGTTGTTATTGTTGTTGTTGTATTGATAGAGGAGCGTCCTCTCTTGGGTGCAGGTTCGTAATGAGAAGGCAAGAAAGTATTTGAATAGCATGCGGAAAAAGAACCCAGTTCCTTTTACTGAGAAATTTCCAGATGCAGATCCGTTGGTGCTCCAACTATTGCAGAGGTTGTTAGCATTTGATCCAAAGGACAGACCAACTGCTGAAGAGGTAATAAGCATAAATGGTGTCTTTCTATTCTTATCCTTATCTCGCTTAGTAGTTGGTTCTAAATTTGCTTCCACTGGTTCTCCCCCCTCCTTCTTCCCTTTAGGCTTTATCCGATCCTTATTTCAAGGGACTGGCCAAGATTGAGAGGGAACCTTCTTGTCGACCAATCTCAAATCTGGAATTTGAATTTGAGAAGCGAAGGGTAACAAAGGAGGATATTAAGGAACTAATTTATCGAGAGATATTGGAATATCATCCTCAACTTCAGAAGGATTACATAGCTGGAAATGATGGCACCAACTTTCTCTATCCTAGGTTCAAACAAGCTCCTTGACTCAGTGCTTATCTCTACTTTCATTTAGCATAATCGATGTAATCTCAGTTTGTTAATTAACTTTGTGGAACTTGTTTACCTTTGCAGTGCAGGTGGTCAGTTCAGAAGGCAATTTGCTTATCTTGAGGAAAATAGTGGTAAAAATGGGCCAGTTATTCCTCTTGGTAGAAAGCACGTCTCTCTCCCACGGTAAGATTATACAGGATTCATTTTCATGTTGGTTTCTTTTCACCTATACAACTGTTCGGGTTCGTGGAAATATTAATTATTCTGCATAGTGGGAAAAACTGTTGTTTGAAAGCATGATCCGATCCCCTTCTTGCTTAATCACATATGTTCCTAAATATGTGCAGATCTACGGTTAACTCTAGCACCATTCCCCCCAAAGCTCGGCAGAACTTCTCTGTGTTTGATCATAGGCAAGTAACAGAAAAAGCAGCTACTGATGTCAGAGTCTCAGAGACAGTCTCAGGAACTACACAAAACGTTTCACGGCCACCACATCGAGTCCCTACAGGTACAGTTAAACATGTATTTACTGTTTAGTGCTATAGCGGTCGATGTGATGTTTGTAATGCCTATCATCGGAGCAAAGTCAATTATTTCACCATGTGTAACGAGCTTGAGAATTGCAACTCAACTATGGTAAAAGCCTCTTAACTCACCCTACTTCACTGGAGTGGAGGTAAAAGCCTCTGCATGATCATGTCCAGAGGCGGAGCCAAGATTTGAAGTTTATGGATTCGAAATTCTAGTCATTTAACTTAGTGGGTTCTAATTTAATAATTTGTAGACATTCAATGCATTTTTAAGACAAACAAAGGGTTGGACCAAAGTTACTAGGTTGGACCAAACCCACAAGCTCCGCCCCTGATCATGTCTGCTCGGACCCTTCGATGGATGCACATATATTGCATGAAATATGTTGTGAAGGACTTTGTTCACAACATGTTTGTTGGATTTTTCTCTGATAACCATTTCTATCCTTTTCAGCCAAACCTGGGAGAGTTGTAGGGCCAATTTTATCATATGATGGAGGCGTACATACCCAGAATACCTTCCTTGCTCATGGCATTTCTCCACATTATATGTTCAGGATGAACCCTGAGATTCGAGAGAAGGATGGTACAGAAGCCAAGGACACCACACAAGTTAGAGATGGAGCTGCAAAAGGCATGGTTGCCAAACCAACAGCAAGCGTGAATGTTGAGATGAACACCAACCCATATTATCAGACACAAGAAAAAGTAGCACAGTTGCGTGGTCAAATTGCAATAGATGCAAAACTACTGCAGGCACAAACACAATTTGGTGTAGTCTGACTTAGCAGACTGTATGCTGACGTTCTTTCAATGGAGAAGTCCACCTTTGAGTTGAGACGACACGACGATTCAAGGTATGCATGTTCATTTTACCAAGCAGTTCGCCACTGATTGGAGGTGGAATTTTTTTACACGGTTGATGATACATACATCACGCTGATATCTAGATAGGGGTCTCTTTGTAAAAACTAGGCATTTTTTGTTCATTTTACCGTGCTGAGTTAGTATCTATGCCCCTGTAAATTTGTAGGCTCTAGCTACTGCAGTATTGATCCTATTAATGAATATAATTGTTGTTCTTCATACCACCTTTTACTTCACTGCATGCCTTTTTCTTTTTTCTTTTTTCCTTAAATGTTTTGGGGTAGGGATACCGTGAATAGCGCATGGAAGCAATAACAGAAGACTCTCAACATGTTATATTTAAACATTTATCACTTAAATGAAGTTGCTACCATTTAGACTGCAACTCCAATCTTGTTTCCCTGCTTTCCTGTTATCCATTTTGAAGCTTTCTTTTTTCCTGTTAATCTTGAGCAAACCTTGTTGTCATGCATCTAATTCAAATTGTTTCTTAATACTCTGAGGTAAAAGATGTCCCTAAGAAATACGAGGTTTTCAGAGTTCGCTGTGACATGAGTACTCAATGGAAATCTCATTTTGAGGAAATAATTGAGAATTTAGAACTTAGTCGTCTAGAATTCTTTTTTCTTCTTCCCTGTATTGACAGACACTCTTGCAATAGTTTCTGAGATCATTTGCCACTAGGAACGATGATGTCAAAGTCACTAACTGTCCATTCTGCATATTCATTGTCACTGACAAAAATCTCTGTTCCTAAATCAATGGATGGCCAATATCTCTTGGCTAGTGGAGTACCAGGATCCTGCATTATCGCAAAGTCACTCAGTGAGGTTGGATCCTTAAACAGAATAGAAAAAAAGGGTCAAATTTGTCTATCTAATAGCCGAAATTGAGCAACTTTGTCCTTCGTTAGATTTTTGGTCAAATCTTACCCCGTTGTTAGGGAAAGTCTCGTTGTTGCCCTTGACTTCTAACAGAGCTCTAACCCGAGGGTAATTTTAAACCATTAAAAAAACTTGATGGGTAAATTTGGACTTTGTTTCTAAATAATTTGGACGCCTGAAATCCACCCATTTCAGGTTGGAGCTACCTTAATGGTAAGGGCAAATATGAGACTTTTTCCTAACGCCAACGGTCCTAAATTTGGACGCTTGGAATCCACCCATTCAAGTTGGTGCTACGTTAATGGTAAGGGCAAATATGAGACTTTTTCCTAATGGCAACAGTATGAAAGGACCAAAAATATGAGACTTTTTCCTAATGGCAACAGTATGAAAGGACCAAAAGTCTAGCAGGCGGCAAAGTTGCTCAATTTCGAATAGTACAGAGACAAAGTGGACCTTTTCCCAACAAAATATTCTTTTGCTACATTTGCAAATTAGATCTTTTGCTTAGATTAGTCACCTGGTAGAAGTAAAGGGACTCTGAAAGTTTCCCAACATCAAGTTCCCATGTTCTAGGATCACCTATCCAGCCTTCACCCTTCTTTGTTGGATATCCATATTCTCTCCAAACTGGATGAGGCAAAATTTGCAGAATTTCCTGAGGTTGGGGGTTGCTATATGGATCACACAAATTATAAGGTTTCTCAAGATTTTCAGCATTTCCTGGAGAACAGTAGTAGTGATAAGCCTCATAGGGGAAGTTGCTTTTGTCCGACCGATGGACACGAGTTCTATTGGGGAAGGTGTGGTAAGGTGGACATGATCTTAGGTTATTCAGATTGCACCATGAGTCTATAGCAGGATTTATGATCATCTCGCTGTATCGAGTAACGTCTGTTGTGACATCGCCATCGCAAGGTTTGCCATTGTTCTTCCAACAACCACCAATGTCCATGAGGTAAAATTGGCTCCTTTGTCCTCCACCTTTCTTTATCTCCAATGTGAATTTTACTCTGAAATTAGGTGAAGAAGGGATCTGGATATAGTTGTTAGTATAAATGCTAACTATATGGTAAGAAGCAGACAAGAAATTGGAGATTTGCATGGTGAGGAAAGGAAGATAGAATGCTACTAATGTGATCAATTTCCCTTCTTCTGGTGGAGAGAAGATAATGAAGGATAGTTTTGGGTTAATTTCACGGATAGTCATCCAACTTTTAGTTTATTGCAATAAAGTTATAAAAATATTTTTTGTAATGAAAAAATAACTCAACTATGTCTATGTATCACTTGAAACACAAAAGAAATGCCTCAAAGTGCTAAATTCGGTCCCGAAGACACAAGTAAGTGTTACAACTTCAACAACTCACCTTACATAATATTCACGCGATTCTATTTAAAAGAAAAAACAAAAACTCATATTTTGACCCTTAAAGAAAACTCATGATGTGCTACATGGTGAAAACCATCGGGTATTAGGTTGGTCGGAAAATGGGATTTTTCGTTACTTTTAAGTGGCGCCACATGAATATTATGTAAGGTGAGTTGCTGAAGTGTCCTATATATGACAATTTTGTAGATATGGCAACCTACTTGCATTTTCCGGGACTTGATTTGGCATTTCTTTGCATATTTCATTTTATGTGATATATAGGCATAGTTGAAATGATCTCAAAATAATTTTAACTAGTATACAAAATCTTCCAGGAAGGGAAACCAAAGACTTACACTTTTCATCATTCCCCTGGTTTGATAATGGTATCCACCAGAAAATCCCATTGTGGCATCTGATCTTAAATACAACATCAACCATGGATATTTTTTTGATGTCTTCAACACATGATGATAGATCCAACTTTTCTTCTTCCCAACTTCTTTCTCCCACCTCACTGCATAATATGATGTATCATTATCTACTTCTGCCTTGTGAACATCAGCATCCAAATCCCAAGTTCCATAAAAACTTCCCTTAAGTTTATTGCCTTCTTCTATTCTTGTATAGTTGTGATAAATCAGTGGCATGTTCATGCAACCTTCGCCGAAGCAAGGAAATCCGGAATCTGGTGGAAAGGGATATGCTTTTCTGCCATTTTTAGGACATATAGCAGCTAATGTGTCCATGTTTCCACTCTTGAGCATTATCATCCAAAACTGCCAAGATTTTGGCTCATCTTGGACTTCACATCTATTGCCAAGATATATTTCTTTCCATGCTGCATATTGATCAGCAGATAATGTCCATAAACCTTGAGAAAAAGCATTTGATATGCCAAGCTTGTTTTCTTCTTCATTTACCCTGTGAATTAACCTAACTTTATACATATTATACCAAGTTAGTATAGTATCCACTAATAGTGCAGTGACTGTTATGTTATCAGTACAATTTAACCTGCTATAGTAATAGAAGTAACTTGTCTTATTTTTCAACTTACTAATTCCAATTTATTATGGATATTACATAAATAATCTGATAGTGTAAAAAAACTTTTAAACTATCAGTATATAGACGTCATAACTTTTTGTTATAGAAGCGGAGGCTTGAAGCAATAATAAAGTTATCTTCATGTGACCTATTGGTCACGGATTCGAGCCGTAGAAGCAGCCACTAATGTTTAGGGCAGGCTGTCTATATCACACATTCCTCGGGGTGCGGCCTTCCTTGGACCTTACGTGAATGTGGGATGCTTTGTGCATCCGGTTGCCATTTTTCTTTTGTTACTCATGTTCTTAACCTCTCTTTTTCTCATATTCTTTTTTTNCCAGGCACTGAAAATATAACAATAAGAACTACGCCTCAACCTCAAGTAAGTTAGAGTCAGCTATATGAATCCTCATTGTCGATGTCGCTTCAGTTAAAGCTCATCGTCGTTCAATATTAGATAGGAGGCACTGAAAATAGATGGAGTTAAAAGTAGTAAGAACTCACTAGGGGTTGTAGAATTATCAATGTCAAAGCAGTCTGCTTCTCTGGGACTTCCCATATTTGGAGCTTCTTCACCAACCTCATTGCACTGATTCCATGCCTCAATTGCTATTCTAAGATCATCTTTTTTCATTCCAGGGTCACCAACAGCTGATACATAATCTTGTCTACAAAAAGTTGGGCTGGAAAAGGTAATTGCAACAATAAGTAGAGCACAAAATTGCTGCAGGAGCATTATTAGCAGTTAGATAAATGTGGTAACAGCTAGGCTATTAGTCGTAGGTAGTTGGTTATCGCTAACCACAATAGGTAGAATATATAGACAGCAACAACAACAATGACCCCGTAAAATCACACTAGTGGGGTCTGGGGAGGGTAGTGTGTACGCAGACCTTACCCCCACCCCGAGGGAGTAGAGAAGTTATTTCCGAAAGACCCTCGGCTCAGGAAGACGAAAAGAGACAATATCAGTACCGCCAATAGAAATCATAAGAAAAATAACATTATGAAAATGAGAAAGTAGATGCAAAGCAAAAGTAATAGACAATACATAGACCCTGCACTATGGAAAATGAAAGAATAGTAAGACGCAACATTGCCACTAACTGACTTCGGTAAAAATCCTACCAGACTAGCCTCACAAAGGTACGAAGGAAAGACTCAACTACCTCCTAATAGACATGACAAAAAGCTCAACAGTTTGGCCTAATGTTCAATGAAGTTGGTCAAAATTATCGGAGACCGGGGTTCAAATTTCAGGAGACAAAAAATACTAGATGATTTCATCGTATTTGCCTAAATCTTGGTGTGCTTGAGTTACTATACCTATATTGGTGTGAGGTAGCAAGTATCTGGCGGAATAATCGAGGTATTTTTGACATAAAATACATTGTTGAACTAGAAGGGTTAATGTGTTGTTTACAAGTAATGCAGATATTCTCAGCAATTCTCCAATTGTTGACTTTGACAAGAAATGGTTGGTAAGAAAATCTATAATACTTCTTCGTTTGTCAGCAAGTTTAATGAAGCATATTGTAGCAAGAAAGCAGAAAACTATTAATGTGCACTTTTATGATAGTGTCACTATGTTTGTTCTGAATAAATCATAAATCTATACATTGGATTTTGTTGATAAAAATTAATAGCCTTATTTTCATTAGGTAGTCAAGCAAAATTTATGAGTTTTTCACATCACTGCACGAAACGTCTCTTTGAATCTGGCATGCTCAATACAGTATAGGTGTAATCAAGTTTTTGTTAGAAACTATGTTGCTCGAACTTTCTAAAAATGTTGTTGCACTTGTATCGGATCCTTCAAAAATCTTTGGAGGATCCGATACGCACCCGATAATGTTTTTGAAGAATCCTAGCAACATGTTAATGTGATTTTGTTATTTGCCCCTAAAAATGTGGTTTTGTGACAAAGATTTAAATGCTATGTGTAACATTTCATCTATGTTAAGTTAATGTAAAATTAAAAGGCTTAAATGCATTCTTTTCACTAGCAACTTTTTAAACACCAAATATTTTTTTTTATGTATGTCTTTTACACACCACTTTGTCTACGTGGTACGCGCTCGCTCACTCACCTGATGAAACCTTATGGTAATATAGAAGGTTGCCCATGAAAATAGAGTGTGTCAAAGGAATTAACTACACATTAAACAACAACAATAATAAACTTAGTGAATTCTACTGGGGAGCGAGGTCTGGGGAAGGTAGTGCGTACGCGGACCTTACCCAATTTTATATATATTTCGGAATATACTTATAAAAGCCCAATAAAGATGGCCTCAGAATAAACAAAAAAAAAATGTACATAAGGCACAAACTGAAAAGCACTAAGGCATCTACGCCTAGTCTTCACTAAGGCCCGACTCAGAGCCGTCAGAGTCGTCGGATCCCTCGGAACCTTCAGAGCCTTCGGCACCTTCATAAAGCTTTTTTGCCTTGGCCTCGGATCTTTTGGCTTCCTCGATCTCGGCCGACAGGTCAAAACCTCGGGCGTGGATGATTATAAACTTACTTGAAAGAAAAGAAGAGTAGAAATCTTGAACTTTAAACGAATAATGTAGCACAGAATCCCACGACTTTTGTCGGATTTTTACCTTCTATAATCGGCAATCATTTTTGCATGAAGAAGTAGGGTTAGAGATGTTTCGGTAAAATAAGATGTGGTCGCGTGTTCTTTGGGTTAAAACGAATTAAAAGGGAGGCCCGCATTCGCGTAGGGATATGGGCCTGGGGTGAGCTTCTTCTTCTTCTTCGCGTTCGCGAGATGGACCCCACATCGCTACCCCAATATATTATAGCTAATAGGGCACAAGTCTTTCATCTTTACTGTAGGATTAAAATAACAAATGGAGTGGAGTGCAAGTCCTGCAACTGTAGGACTTTTATCTACGACCATACTATAGTCATGGGCTGTCCAGTTTTTCAGCTTAAAGATCTGTGCAAGCTCGAACTTCGATTTACAGCTCCATAAATTTTATTGGGAAGATCTTCGATTCATATATTTTTTGAAAATGCTGGAAATTAATTATTTTAAGAAATTCAAAAACCAGAAAAATACTTGAGGATTTAGAAGTAAAACTTATTTAGACTTATTAAAAATTTTGTTATTGTAAAGATTAAAATTCTATGCATTGATCGTATACTTAGTTCATTTTAATATAATTACACTTCTTGTAAAGGTCGTAAGTAACCTATTGCAGGGGCTGAGGGAGATTGTTACATATGTGTTTGACTTAACATAGTGATTTTAGCTCAAACCGTGTATATATTCTAAGATTTTTATTAAATATGTACAAATTTTTAAATTTTGAGCACATTTATTTGCATTTGAAGTTATTGTCCTGGAATCTCAAATCTATAAAAAGTTCAAATCCATGCTCAGCCCTCCGAGCAAGGGTAACATATTAAACCACAATGATAATCTAAATGTGTGTGTGTGTTTAGGCGAAGTATGGTGGCAAAACTGAGGCGAAGTCAGAAATTAAAGTTTATGGGTTCTGAATTTGCCACAGAACCCATAGTTCGTCTTAGTTACCTGGTTTGCAATTGAATATTTATACATATTGAATGAATTTCCTATTATAAATACAACGTTTAAGCAAAAGTGACTGGGTTCGGCCGAACCCGCACGCTATAGGCTAGCCCCGCCTGCGGGCAAAAGCCAAAAGCATAATGACAGAATATATATCGTTATACAGTCAAACCTCGCTATAACAGCCTCGTTTATTCCGAATATTTTTGGCTGTTATATTATAACAGAGAACATATATTATAACATAACATGATCATTAGTTCCAAAAAAGTTTAACTTTTATACTGAAATGTTATTATATAGGAATGCTGTTATAGAGAGGTATGACTATACGTATAAATAAGTGTATTCTTTTATTCCTACATGATATATCTCGTGAAAGGCTTTTATTCCCTCCAAAACGGTGAGTAAATGCTAGCGGCTAATGGCTAAAACAATAGGCACAAATCAAAATTAAAGCATCTGCTGTCGGTGAATCTCACAAGAAGACTTATAACAATTATAGAAAGCAATCTCTCTTCTTTCTTTTTTTTACAAATATATTATCCAACAACTCAATTCTCTTCTCTTTTCATTTACTCGTTATAGCAAATTCTTGAATATTTGTGGACATTTCTTGAAAAATAACAATGGATGCTTTATGGAATTTGGAAGATAAATGGAAACTGTCAACTCAAGAATCTGTTGCATTTTTAGTTTGCACTTGTTGTTTAGTTATTGGTGTTTGCATGGTTACTGTTTTGATCAAAAGAAGAGCAGCAAATAGGAGAAAAGGGTTAGTAAGTCAAGAACCATGCATGGATATAGAATGGTCCGAGCCAAAGTTACTGGGGTTGAGTAGTACTACTGTGAAGAAGGTGTTGAAGAGCTCGGTAAGGTGGAGCAGCGCGAGCAAGTGGGAGGAGAAAAGAAGCAGGAGTCATACGGAGAGAGTTTCTCCGTTGCTTGTTGCTGAAGGTCAACTTGAAGGCGATTCTTATAGGTGGCAGAGCCATAATTCGGATTCGCCTGTGTGGCAAAGGCCTGTACTTTTGGGTGAAAAGTGTCAGACGAAGAGTGTTACTCCGTTATCCGTTGTTAGAGGACAACTTGAAGGCGATTCTTGCAGGTGTTTGGATTTACCTGTGTGGCAAAGGCCTATGATTATGGGTGACAAGTGTCAAACAGAGAAAGTTTCTCCTTTACCTGTTGTTGGAGGTCAACTTGAAGGCGATTCTTGCAGGAGTTTGGATTTACCTGTGTGGCAAAGGCCTATGATTATAGGTGACAAGTGTCAAACAGAGAAAGTTTCTCCTTTACCTGTTGTTGGAGGTCAACTTGAAGGCGATTCTTGCAGGTGGCATAGCCACAGTTTGGATTTACCTGTGTGGCAAAGGCCTATGATTATGGGTGACAAGTGTCAAACAGAGAAAGTTTCTCCTTTACCTGTTGTTGGAGGTCAACTTGAAGGCGATTCTTGCAGGAGTTTGGATTTACCTGTGTGGCAAAGGCCTATGATTATAGGTGACAAGTGTCAAACAGAGAAAGTTTCTCCTTTACCTGTTGTTGGAGGTCAACTTGAAGGCGATTCTTGCAGGTGGCATAGCCACAGTTTGGATTTACCTGTGTGGCAAAGGCCTATGATTATGGGTGACAAGTGTCAAACAGAGAAAGTTTCTCCTTTACCTGTTGTTGGAGGTCAACTTGAAGGCCGATGGCAGAGCCACGATTCTTCGTTGCTTGTTGCTGGAGGTCAACTTGAAGGTGATTCTGCTCGGTGGCAGAGCCATCGTTCAGATTCGCCTGTGTGGCAAAGGCCTATACTTAAGGGTGAAAAGTGTCAAACAGAGAAAGTGTCTCCATTGTTTGTTGTTGGAGGTCAACTTGAAGGCGATTCTTTCCGTAGGCAGAGCCACAATTCGGACTCGCCTGTGTGGCAGAGGCCTATACTTATGGGAGAAAAATGTGAGCTTCCAAGATTCAGTGGGCTAATTCTCTATGATGAAAGAGGAAGGCCAGTGCATCATGTTGACAATGACCAATTCAGCAGTTATCAGGTAAAACATAGAAATTGTTAAAAGACAAATAAATTAAAGATAGAAATTTTTATAACATTTTTAAAACAAGAGTTCAAATTTTATGCCTATATAATCAAATAAAATCAAATCACTTATTATAAAATTATAAGTAAATCTCTATCATAAACGATAATTGATAACTTGATAAAAATGATAAGTAACTTGCTATCGGAAGTTAAACACTGATAGTATAAAAATCTTTGCATTATCCATGTATATAACTTATATCCGAATTAGTTTGTGATTGCGATATAGTTGATTTATTATTCGAAATATTATAATTGTACCATGTGTTAAAATTCTGATCCATTGGTCTGGTAGCCGAAAAAGTGTATAAAAATTATTTGTATATAACATACAGAATGCATATATATACAAAAAACATACAACTTTTATATATTTTTTCGACTATTATTGTTACAACGGCTATACAACGTCATTTCCAATATTTTTTTAACTCACTTTTGCACCATTATTTCAGGAAAAAGCAGATGTTGTTGGGAGAACTACCCTTAGGGACTTGTTTTGACATTTCTGAAATATGTCACCAATTTTTGTATATGAAATAGATTTCAATTACCTCCTATTAGCTTTTGGATGGTTACTTTGAAAATGGTGTCCAATGTATTATCTATCAATTGAGAAGGAAAAATGAAGCAAATGTAGAATCCAGAATTTTGAGTAAATTAGTAGTATGTGCAATTTTATTTTATTTTTTTGGTTATAGGAAAAAGGATTAATGTTTACCTCCGAAATTGATCAAATTTGCCCTTCGTTAACTTTTGGTCTAATATTATCTCGGTTGTTAAAAAAAAAAAAACTTTTTTTGCCCTTTACCCCCAACGGGGATACAACCCGAGGATAATTTTAAATTACAGACAAAAGTTGAGGGGTAAATTTGAATTTTTTGTGAAGAATTTGGATACGTGGAGTTCACTCAGTTCACACTTAAATTACGTTAATGGCAAGAATAAATACAAGAGGATTAGCTAACAGCAAGAATATGAATTGACCGAAAGGGTAACAGAGACATTTCCCTCTATTATATGTGTTTAAATTGTTTTTACACATATATGGTTTGAACTAAAACCAATGTTTTAAAAGGAGGGGCGTGAGGCGAGGTGCTTTACCTCTGACGAGGCGAGGCGTAAGTCCTGAGACATAGGGCGTAAGTCCTGTGGATCTTTAAATTTTACTAATTTCAAGAATTTTAAGATAGTATAAAATAAAAAATAATTATAAAAATTACATTAAAATCACAAAATTATATCAAATAATCTATTTAAAATATTTATAAATTATAATTCAACTACGAATAATACGAAAAGTATGACATATCATAATATGCAAATTAGCTGCAACGTCGTTACAATTCAAACATCAAAAGTAATGTATTCAATACGAAATCTTATATGTATCTCTTAAGGAGTAATGAATCTTGAAAGAATATCGATATTATAATTTAATATTTTTCTTAAAATACTCCTTTTATTTAATATGCTTTCTATTTGAAAGAGAATTTATATAAAAACATAATTCACAATTTAAATATGATTATCTAGCATCATTTATTTTTAAGTTTCAACAAGTAAATAAAGTGACACATAATTCACCATACAATACCATGATAACTAATTATTTGTAAATAGTTACTAGCTAATACTGAGCTATTAAATTAATAAGTATTGTATCTTGTAAACGTGAAAAAAAATAATATTTAAAAAAATAATTATAAAAAAAATTATGGACTATTATATAGTAAAGAAGCAACAAAAGTTAATAAACAAATACTTTTTTAAATGAAATATTTATTTAAAATTAATTATCATAGCAGTCTTAGTGGATAACGTGCAATAATTTTTATTTTAATTATGACATAAAATACTCTCAACTTAATATTTATGATTAAGAAAAAAATAATTTTGAATAGTCAACGATTTATTAAGAAAATTTGAGGATTTACAAAGTTAGTTACATACAACAATTGCATAAAGTTTTATTAGGCGAGCCCAGTATGTTGGGTGTTGGTTGTGTCTGGGGCATAAGCCCTGATAGCCGAGGTGTAAGTCTTACGGAACTAAGCCCCACACATACTTATGGTACGTGTTTGTAATATTTGACACAAGATATTCGTGCAACGCACGAATATAGAGACTAATTAATCAAAAAGGCTTTAAATAGCCAATTTGAAAACAAGATTTGCAGAATAAATATTCAAATTCAAAAACCTAAACTATCTTAACTAATTTATCCTATCAAATTAAGATTTAAACAAAGACTCCTCCTGCGACTAAACATAAGCTATATGATGAAGTTCTTTTTGTTCCTGGCACTGCTTATCTCCCATTGTTCGATCCATCGTTCTCTGGAAGAGTATCACAGAGAGTTTAATTTTTATGCACTAAATATATATATATTTTTAAAAACACTATTATGGACAACTAATTGTGTTGCTGTGAATGTCTAGAAAGGTAGAAATACCTCTCGTAGGTTAAAGGATAAAGAAATCCATGCCCTTGGACGAATTTAATTACATCAATATCATCCAACTCTCTAATTGCAGGTGAACAAATTAAAATTAACAATCACACTGACCATATATAGATTTCTTATGATGACCAATTACTTGTCAGATCTACCCATTGGCGCAAAAAAGTTGGGAAGAACGAAAAAAGAAACTTGAGAAAATTGAATATAGATTTCATATTATGATCCAAGAGATTTGAGAAATAAAAGATAGATCTTCAAGAATTGGTCCTAGCATATCGAGTTATTTCACTACAACCACGACGATAGGGATTAATTTCCAGGTGTGAACTGCAATCGTAATAAGAAGCTCCTCGTACATTACATGGAATACTATCGGCAGAAAGTGCTGCATAGCTAATATAGCTATCTTTGGCTTGTAGTATTCGTCTGGCACCTGTATTGGAGCCTGCAATTGCAACTGCATGGTCGCAAAACATGCTTGTAAAATCATGACCAAAGTTGGTATAACGATATTTGTGATCATATGAAGATGATGATATAGGATCAATAATCATCGCTAGAACTAAAAAGAAGATTATCTTTAGTCGGAGATCCATGGTGTTATTTTAGTGTTTGTGTTCGTGTGATAATTAATGGTTAGTTGTTGTGAAGTGTGGAAGGTGAAGAAATGGAGATTTTAAAAAAATTTGATACATTATGTATTTGATAAAATCAGAAGAAAACAAAAAAAAGAACAATGAAAAGAAAGTATTTAATAAAACAAATTCATATCGCATAGTGAACCTCCATAGGAGTTAGACTAGGAATGTCATTGGTCGTCTATTGATGTAGGGTTTTACCTTCTAGTTATGCTATACCAGCCATCTATTTCGTATTTCGTATTTCGTATTCTGTATTTCATATCTCTTATATATGTTGTTATTTTTATTATGCATTTTTATGGTACTAATATATCATCTCCTATTGCTTTTTTGAGCCGAGGGTCTCCTGGAAACAGCCTCTCTACCCTTCGGGGTAGGGGTAAGGTCTGCGTACATATTACCCTCCCCAGACCCCACTTGTGGAATTATACTGGGTCGTTGTTGTTGTTGTTGTTGTTGTTGTATAGTGAACCTCCATATCCTATCAACATATATAGATTCTCTAGCAAAATCAAAATCTGGAATAAAAAAAAATCATAAAGAAAGCATGCAACTAAAATTTCCTGGAAGTAGCAAGAAATTTACTATGAACAAAACATACTTTTAACAAAAAATTATCCTTTTTTTTTTTTGGCTTGGTTCAAATTTTCTTTGAATTCAACTTAGCCTCTATGTTTTGTAATGAAAGTCTCTCACTGGAATCAAAAGTATGTTCACATACCACAAATTAAACCTTTTTTAAATATACATGTGTGCACCCAAGTTCAAAGAGTTCTATAATGCAATAAATATTGCAGTGCACCTTCTTGTGTTAGATGTTGAATTCTCAATTTGTATGCATGTCTAGTGTCCTTTCTTGTCTTTTAATTAAGTTTTTTTTTTCTTCTTTTTCCTTTTTTTTTGTTTGATTTATTCATTCAAAATTTTCAAATTTAACACATTGAATTCCTTTATTTCCTTTTTGTCATCACAAAAAGTTATATAATTAAAAGTAATAGCAGCGAATGATGTAGCATGGTACAATAATCCCAATATTTTTGATACAGAATATAGATATATAAGTTACAAATCACTAAAATTATAAGAAAAAAATAATTTAATCTATAATTTCTAAATGGTAATGAATTCATGGTAAAAACTTAAAGGTTAAACCCATCAAATATAAATTTTAAATTCACCTCCTTGTAATTGTGCACCCATCTCTTTGGAATTCTGGATCCGCCTCTGCATAAAAGTACGTTAATATTTTAGGGATATTTTTGTCACATAACATTTAGCATAAAATATTCGTGCTTTTATAATAATAATAATAATAATGTATATATATATATATAAGAACGAGTGTCTCTTCTCTAAGAGTTCTTCAGGAAGTTATGTGTTTTATCTCCTTCTTGATTCCTCTTTTTGTAGTCAATCCCCATTCACTATAAAAAAAAAACAATGAAATTAGCTACGAACTCCAATGATAATCTGTCGTTAAACCTAACTAACATAATTTTTTAATAATATATGTTATTTCGTCGCTAAATAAAATTAGTGACGGATTTTTTTTAGCTACAGAAATTCCGTGGCTAATTCCTATTTTTTTTAGTAGTGGTTGGACTTGATTTATTTTAATTGTTGCTTATTAAATGTTGGACTTATATCCTTCTAAAAATGGAAAATTGTTAACTCTTTATGTACTTTGTTTCCCTTTTCTGAAATCTTCATTATTCCAATTAGACATTAGATTTTCATCGTTTTCACTTTATTAAGTAAATTGTCATGACCCGCCACATTATCATGCCACGTAGGTGTCACTTGATATATATTTTTGCCATATGAAAGGGCTACATAAGTTAGGAAAAAGATCTTGGTAGAATATTCTAGAACTATGGAGAATTTCCTTAGAAAAGTTCTAGATATTTATGCATTTGTAGGAAGGTTCTAGAGAAATATAGAGGTTTCCTTAGGAAGACCCTAGAACCCTATAGAATTATTAGGAAAGTCCTTAGAAGAATCTAGCTGTGTAGAATATTCTAGAGAAGGGACTTAGTTGTAAATATGGAAGGACTTGTAGAACAATTATTATTTACATACTAGCCCCTAGGCGATTAGTATAAATAGGGGCATTCATTTATAATTTATCAACCAGGCAAACAATTCAAGTTCTCTCTAATACAAAGTTTCCTTGAACAATTCTCTTGTGTTCTTTCTTCCATTCTCTTAGCGATCTTGAAGGTAGTAAGGCTGAGTTGGCATAGCAAGAACATGAGCAAGTTGTGCAAGATCATAATCGAGTTGTCAAGTGCCGCACATGTACTTAGTTAACAACTAAGGACGTGACAAAATAACATAAAAAAATATAAGGAAATATGTCGAGGTGCTTTTCCTTTACCAGCATGTAAAATCCTATGATTGAGTATTTCTGACCCTTGTGAACATCTTTTCTTAATATATTTTCTGGCTCGGCTCCGATAATGCAATTCCGAGAGGTGAATTAAGTATTCATTGCATAATGGGGGAGGCGATGACAAATGATCTAGGATTTGAGTTCTTAGTCT